AAAAACATATTCCAGAAATTCACCCCATATAACACCAAAATCATTCCTTTTCGCCAGTCTCTTTTTATATTTTAGTTCACATGTCAATTTATCATTAATAGCAATATTCCATATTTCTTTAAACCAATCTTCAGGCTCATATTCAAAATCCACTTTCCAATTTTTAACTATTATTAATCTTAAGGCAGTAACAAAAATTATTATCATCTCTTTCTTTTGCCAGTCTAATTTCATATTTCCAAAATTTAACAGTAATGCAATTCTTGGATTTATTTGCAAATTAATAGATAATATTTCATTAATCTCAACAAAGCCCTTTTCCTATATTTTTTTTAACTTTTCACATTCCCACCATAAATGCAGATAAGTCCCAATTTCTTTTTTACACCTCCAACAATTTTTTGAATTACTTCTATTATAATAGCTTAAAGTTACTGGGGTCATATACCAACTTATAACTTAAAGGAAAATTGGTACAAAATGTTCTACAGATGTTATACAACTCCATCAATAATATCTAACATAGACAAATCATATAGTAGTAAATGTTGGAAATGCCATGAAACAGAAGGAACATTTTACAAGAAGATACATAAGGACAATGCAGAAAAGTTTGGAATTTAAATCTGAAATGAAACCACAACTTTTTTTATTAGGTATAATCTCAGGGGAAAAAAATCAACAAGAAATGTCATAATTTAATGAATTATAGGCTTACAGTAGTGAGAATAAATTTTGCTCAATGCTGGAAAAAAAAAAGATATCATTCCAATATCTCATTGGGAACTTAAACTTGGAGAATATGCAGCAGTGGGAAAACTCACAGTATATATACACAATAGAAGTTTAAACAAGAATGATTCCCATACATACAATACATCATGCAGCATGACAAATATAATCACTTATAGTCTGGCTTCTTAAGGCCCTTAAATGTCTACAGTATTATAAATTAGCAGATGTACAAAAAGAGGAAAGTTAGAAACCCAATAGTTCTTTTTTCTTTATCTTTTTTTTTAAAGGTATTTTAATTCTTATTAAATCTGGTTTTTATCTGTTTTTTCCTTTTATTAACATGTTAACTTATTAAGTAACTATACAATGGAGATTCATCATTAAGTAATCAGCTCAAGATCAAAACTGTTGTTATATAACAAATACTTTATGGATCTGCAGCACTTTCTTTTTTTTAATGTTATATTCAGCTTTGGATGAAAAAAATCAATAATTTTTTATTTGTAATACCAACATCCTAAATTGTAATTAGTATTGGTAGAATATTTCTTTCTTTTTTTTTATTTCCAACACTCTAAATTATCTAAACAGTAAAATGTCAATAGTTTTTAATTAATATTGTATAACTATCATTGTATTGAAACAATACAATGTATTAAGAATTACAATATAATAAAAAGAAAAAAAGAATAACATTCCATCCCTGAGGTCCTGGGTTTAGACAGAAAACTGGAAATTAAAGGTTTCTATCAGTACCTTCATTGATAGAAACCTTTAATTTCCAATTTGCTATCTAAACCCAGGACCTCAGGGATGGAATATTGTTCTTTTTTCTTTTTATTATATTGTTGTAATTATAACAGAATATAACTAGATTGTATAAAAGAATTTACATGGGAAAGAATTGGGGAGGGGGAAACAGAAACTGAATTCCATTTATTCAGGCTTTGTAGCATTAGGTCAATTTATCAGATGCTCCACTGAGCACTGCTGTACCATACCAAAACTAGGATCTTGCCACAAGACAAGACATTTAACAATGAGCACTGAAACAGATTAATGGGTTCACTGTCACTTTTTCTTCCAAAAAGAGGTAGAATAACAAAATGGGAGAGGTCATAGGTTAATTGAGAAAGAAAACTTGACATACTATATTGATGCTGCATAATAAGAACAGCATCATCATTCATTCATTCATTCATTCATTCATTCATTCATTCATTCATTCATTTCAATTTATATAGCTGCCCATCTCATTTGCATGGCTCTGGGCGGCTTACAAGTTAAAAAGAGCAAAAAAAGAACTATATAAATAACAAAACAATAGATCAGAAACATAAAAACACAGAAGAGTGCCAACAAAAGCTTACAAACAATGAAGCCATCTTGCAGTCTCCCCACATCCCAGATCTGATGCCACAGCCATGTCTTCAAAGATTTCCTAAAGGCCAAGAAGGTTGGGGCCAATCTCACCTCAGGGGGGATGATATTCCAGAGGGCAGGCATGACGGGTGAAAAGGCTCTCCTCTTGAGTCCCATCAGATGGAATTCCTTCGTAGATAGGACCCACAACATGCCCCTTCTGCCAGATCTGATGGAACAGGAAAATATAACCAGGGAGAGGCAGTCCCTCAAATAACCTGACCCTATGCCATGTAGTGCTTTATAGGTCATAGCCCGCACCTTGAATTGAACCCAGAAGCAAACTGGCAACCAATGCAGCTCACAGAGCAGAGGTGTAACATGCACTGATCTTGGGGCACACATAGCTGCACCACCATGTTTTGCACCAGCTGTAACATCTGGATGCTCTTCAAGGGCATCCCCATGTAGAGCACATTACAGTAATCCATCTGGGAGGTGACCAGGCCATGAATGGCAGAGAGTAGAGCCTCCTGATCCAGGTATGGGTGCGACTGACACACAACCTGAAGTTGCACAAAGGATTTCCTGGTCACAACTGCCACCTGCTCCTTGAGCAGGAGTTGTGAGTCCAGAAGGATGTCCAGATTGCACACAGGGTCTGTTTGGGGCACTGCCACTCCATCCAGCACCAAAGATGGTAAATTCCCAAATCCCAGAGGCCTCAAAACCCAAAGCCTGTTGTTCCCCGTCCAGCCCCTATAGCCTCCAAACACCAAAACAGAACCTCAGTTTCCCAGGGAGATGTACAGCTGGGTTTCATCAGAGTACTGATGGTACCTCACTCCATGGTAATAAATTACCTCACCTAGCAGCTTCATGTAAATGTTAAACAGGAGTGGAGAGAGAACTGAACCCCGTGGGACTCCCACATAACAGGGGCCAAGGGTGGGACCTCTTGCTCCCGATCAACACTGACTGGAACCAGCTGCAGAGGAAGGAAGAGAACCAGTACAATACAGTGCTGTCCACCCCAATCCCCGCAGCCAGTCCAGAAGGATATCATGGTTGATGGTATTGAATGCTGCCAAGAGGTCAAGCAGAGCAAGGATAGATGCACTAGCCCCATCCTGTTTCTGCCAGAAATCATCCAAAAGCACAGCCAAGGCTGTTTCCCATGTCCAGGTCTGAAACCCACCTGAAAGGGGTCCAGATAATCCACTTCATCCAAGATTCTTTGAAGCTGTTGTACAACCACCTTATCCAATAATATCTCTTCAACATTTTTTGAAACTCCATATGAAAGCTTTGATATGTGTATAAGTGATATAAAGCTGTCAAAACGCCTGATCTATCAATTGGTATTTTCTACTCAGTAAGGGTACCATAAAAATAAGTTGCAGTTGGCACAGCTGGAATTAGGCTGCTGTTCCCAAGATGTCTCTCCCTCCCCCCCCCCCAAATTTGGTAAATATTTTGTTGTTTCTTGTTTGTTGCCAGTCTGCTGATCTTCAGGATGTCATGTTTACAGCCCTGGTAAAGGACAGACCAAAATTTGTTCGTCTCTTTCTTGAAAATGGGCTAAATCTAAGGAAGTTCCTCACTCATGAAGTTTTAACAGAACTCTATACAAACAACTTCAGCAATCTGGTGTTTAAAAACCTACAAATTGCTAAGAACTCCTACAATGATGCTCTTCTTACTTTTGTGTGGAAGATGGTAGAGGATTTCAGAAAGGGCATAAAAAAAGAAGACAAAAATGCCAAAGATGACATAGAGATACAGCTGCTGGTATGTCAAGTACAGGTTTAACTTTTCAACTGAAATTGTATACCCATCTGTCTCAAATTGAATCCACAGAACTCAGTGGGACTTACTTCTGAGTAGATTTTTCCATGTAAAACAAAACAGGCATTAAGACTGAATTCCTATATTTTGTTAATTTTTGATTTTTTGTTGTAATTATGTCCTTTCAGGATGGATCTCTTATTACGAGGCATCCCTTGCAAGCTCTCTTTATTTGGGCTGTCCTTCAAAACAAAAAGGAACTATCCAGCGTAATTTGGGAGCAGGTATTTCATACTTCTGGCATCACTAACAATGATTAGATTTCACAATCAGATAGAAAATATACCCCTAGGCTAGATTCCTGTAGATAAAAATATTGAAGTCAGTAGGAATTACTTCTACATAGACATTAAAACCCCAAAGACCCTCCAAAGGATGCTGCCAAATTACAAGGAAAATGATGAAATTTATTGGGAATAATAGTAATAATAATTTATTAAACTTATATGCAGCCCAACTCCCAGAAACTCTAAATGGTTTATGAATTGTTTAAAACATTGAAAAGAAGAAAAACAACACAAGACAAAAAGAAGGGTAAAGATGGCAGGATGACAAAACCACATGGAAACAAAGGAAGACCACCCACATAATCTAAAGGGGGCTTCAGTCACCCTCACCAAAGGCCTGGGCGAAGAGCTATGTTTTCAAGGCTCTTCAAAGCACCAGGAGGGTGGGGGCCTTTCAGATCTCGGGGCGAACTTCATTGCAGAGTAAACATATAAAGTGAAATAGATCCTTCCATTCAAAAAAATCCAAGGAATATGAGACTTTCCTGCAGTTGTATTACTAAACTGGTTTAGAAAATGCTTCCGGGGTTTAAATATAAATTTAAACATAAACTAAATCAAATCTAGTTTTTGCCCTGGCTTTTCCCAGCACATACTTCAAAGGCCAAATGCAATTCTTGGCTGTATTGAAAGGAAGATGTTAAAAAAGGAATGATAAAACAAAAATAGGTGAATTTAAAATGTTGGTTTAGGTGAAACCCCAGAAGCATTTTCTGAACCAGTTTAGTAATACAGCTGCAGGAAAGTCTCATATTCCTTGGATTTTTTTGAATGGAAGGATCTATTTCAAGAGGGTCATGTTCAGTAGATTGTTTAGAAAACGCACAGGAAAAATTCTCATCATTTTCAATCATTTTATTGTGCAAGTTAAAGCTTTCATTTGTTTAGAAGATTTTGCAGGATAAAGCAAGGCTACTTGACCACAAGTTTACTGAAATATGGCTCCAGGGAATAGAATCCTTCTAAACTACATAGCTGCATTGCTGTTTGGGAATATTAACTTCATTACCATATTAGAATGTCACAAATGGTGATTTGACAATTCTCTTTGCAGACAAGAGGCTGTACCTTGGCAGCACTAGGGGCCAGCAAGCTCCTGAAAAGCTTGGCTAAGGTAAAGAATGATATTAATGCTGCTGGAGAATCAGAAGAGCTGGCAAATGAGTACGAAACAAGAGCTGTGGGTAAGGTCTAATATAAGAAGTTCAGCTATAAATTAAGAGATTAAATAAATGAGAAAAATTGATTCAAGCTTACATTTTAAAATTATCTTTGAATTTAGTACATTTGTAAAACAGTGGATTACAATTTTTAACTCAAGTTTTTAAATATGGATTTTAACATATTCACCAATAGGACATATTCCAAAGGTTCCAAACTAATAACTGGCATAGAAACAAGGCTGCAAGCAAGCTACAGTTTGCAGTAAGGGAAGAAAGACTAGACTCAGAGGAAAGACTGAAGGATAGCTCATCATATTTAAGTGCAGTCCACTTAAGTATGCTGAGAAAGTGAGACATATTAAATACAGTTTTTGCTCAAGTGTATCATTGCTTCATGTATAATTCCCAGGACTAAAAACTATTCTTCAAAGCTAAAAGCAGAAAATTCAGATAGTATATTAGCTTCAGTGATGGAGTTGTTGAAGAGCTGTTGGCTGTTGGAGTGTTGTACCATTATACAAAAATAAAGGAAATAGACTTGACCCTATAAAATGTAGGTATATTAGTTTATTAAACACAATAAATAAACTTTATGCTAGATTTTTATATCTAAAATTAATCGATTGGGTACAAAATGAAAATATCGTTGCTGAAGAACAGGCTGGATTTAGAGAGGAGCAATCAACATTAGATCATTGTTTGGTTCTTTGCTATTTGGCAGAAAATATTCTGCACCCTCTAGTGGCTCTCCCGTTGCAACCTTTGTTGATTTTAAGTCAGCTTTTGATATAATACCAAGGGAGAACCTGTGGGATAGTCTGAGACATTCCTCTATTGATAAAAGGCTGCTTGTGCTTATTCAGTCATTTTATTCAAACACCTCCTTGAAAATTAGATGTACCCTTTGGGGACATTTATCTAAACAGTCCCAACTTACAGAGGTATAAGACAAGGTTGCATATTAACTCCATTACTTTTCAATTTATATCTAAATCCAATAATTCAAAGTGCTTGCTGTTTCAATCATCCACCCATTTTGGCTGATTGTGCGATTCCAGCACTACTGTATGCTGATGATGTAGTTATTATGTCTACTTCACAGATGGGAATGAGAAAAGCACTTAGGGCACTAGCTTTATTTTGTACAGAACAAAAACTATCAATAAATTATCAGAAAACCAAAGTCTTAGTTTTTGCCTGACACTGTCATAAAATTGACACATGGCAAATAAATGGGACTCAGATTGAACAGATGCGCACCTGTAAATATCTTGGAGTGCAATTCCATGCTTCCTTATCTTGGAATGCTCACCAGGCAAGTGTGGCACAGTGTGCATCTATAGTTACTGTAAGATTTTACCATTCAAAAGGAGCCCATTATATCCCTGCAGCTTGCAAGGTCTTTCAAGCTAAGCCTCAGGTTCTTTATGGCTCCTTTGCAAAGCTTAATATTATTGAAACCATTCAAAATAAATTTATTAGAACCATGTTGATGGTTCCAAAAAGTATCAAAAATTCTATCTTACATGTAGAAACAGGTATAATTTCATTGGATGCTAGATTGTGGTTTCTCCTTCTTACCTTCTGGCTAAAGTTAATTCTACTTCCTATAGGTTTGGTTCCATGAGTATTTAGAGATTGTTTTAAATCATAATGGCTTAAAAAAGCCCTAGAAAAAATTCAATTGCTGGGCTTCTCTATGGAAAGTCTGTGCTCATTAGGTTTTGATAATGCTAAAACTGCCTTTAAACAACAAATTTGGAGTATAGATCTCCAA